GACCTCATTGGTGTCTACAACTACCTGAAAGGAGGCTGTATTGAGGTGGGGGCCAGTCTCTTCTACTGTGCCTGCAGTGGAATTAAGCTGAGACAGAAGAAATTCAGATTAGATATTAGAAAAAGGGTGGTCAGACATTGGAAAAGGTTGTCCAGGGCTTTGATGGAGTCACTATCCCTGGAGGTATTTAAGAATTATCTGGATCTGGCACTGGTGTTGTTTAGTAAACTGATGTTTAGTGGTTTAGGGGTTGCAGTTATAGTATTGGGTTGATTGCTGGACTTGATGATCTTAAAGGTCTCTTCCAACCTTGACGATTCTATGATTCTATGAGGCAGGGAGAAAGAGTTGATGGTGTGGCTCTGTACATTAAGCAGTCTTTCAACTTTCTATCAAGGATAATGATGACAAGACTGAGTATCTGTGGGTAAGAATCGGGGGAAGGCCAACAACACAGACATCCTGGTAGGAGTCTATTACAGACAACCCAACCAGGATGAAGGGATGGATGAACTATTCTGTAAGCCTCTGGCTGATGTTTCACAATGGTTAGCCCTTGTTCTTGTGGGAGACTAACTTGTGGGATGCCTGCTGGAAACTCAACACAGTGGAGGGGAGGCAGTCTAGAAGGTTTCTTGAGTGTGTGGAAGACAACTTCCTGACACAACTGGTAAGTGAGCTTAGCAAGGTGGGTACTCTGCTAGACCTGCTTTTTACAAACAGAAGGGCTGGTGGGAAATGTGGTGGTCAGATGACATCTTTGGCACAGTGACCATGATATAATGGAGTGTTCAATTCTTGGTGAAGTAAGGAAGGGGTCAACAAAATCTCCACCTTGGATTTTCAGGAGGCAGGACACTTATTCAGAGAGCCCCCTAGAAAAAATTCCTTAATAAGAAGGGAGTCCAGGAAAGCTGGACATACTTTAAGAAGGAAGTCCTAAGGGTTTAGGAAAATACCCTCCCTATGTGCCCAATATTGAACTGGGGAAGAAGAACAGCCTGGCTGAACATGGAGCTTTCACTGGAACTTGGGTTTATGACCTTTGGAAGAAGTGGCAGTCAAGAAAGGTATATAAATGTCGTTACACCATGTAGAAAGAAAATTAGGAAGGTGAAAGCTCAGCTAGAGCTTAATCTAGCCACTGCTGTAGAAGATAATAGAAATGTTTTTATAAATAGATGAACAACAAAAGGAGGGCCAATGACAATCACCATTGGATGCAAGGGGATCATAGTCACCAAGATTGAGGAAAAGGTTGAGGTAACGCCTTCTTTGCATCATTCTTTAACAGTAAGGCCAGTTATCCTCATGGCAACCAGATCTCAAAGGTGGTAGACAGAGACAGGAAGCAGAATTGATCCCCTGTAATCCAAAAGGAAGCAGTCAGGGACATGCTGAGCCACTTTGATACTCACAAGTCTATGGGACCAGATGGGATCCATTCTAGGCTGATGAGGAAGCTGTCAGAAGAGCTGCTCTCCATCATTTACCATTAGTCCTGGCCAACTAGAGAGGTCGCAGGTGACTGGAAGCTGGACAATGTGATGCCCATCCATAAGAAGGCCAAAAGAAAGATCCAGGAAACTACAGGCCTGCTAGCCTGATCTCAATGCCTGACACAATTATGGAACTGAGTGCGACTCACATCTTGAGTGTGATCATGATGCTGGTTTGGGTTTGCCTTTTTTTCTTTTATGTTCTCAGTATTCTTCGCTCATGTATTTGTATCTCTGTAGCCTACTGTACTAGTTAGTTTTCCCAGTAATTTTCCACGGCCTTTCCCTGGGCAGGAAGACAAAACAAATTCCAGAGCTCCAAGCCCCGAGAAGTGCAAAGCCCCCGTGCTATCTTGTTTTTTTTCCTGGAAACCAAGGCCGAGAGCAACTCTTTGAGATACATTTCATAGACTAAGTACAGCTCGTACCAAGGGGGGGCTCCAGAGAAGGGGTTTGACCTGGGAGGAAATTGAATCACCACTTGTCCTCCTAATGAGTGCTTTTTATCAATTATTCTAATTTCCCAAAACCTATATATACTCATCTCTGTGGGGTGGGCTTTTCTGGACATCTCTCCATAACTGCCTCTGAAAACCTTCAAATAAAGATCTGCTCTTATATTATCTCCTTAGTAAAATCATCTTGAGTTTCATTTCCAGCAAGTTAGGAAAAAGGCAACTATCACATGGCACATACAGGACAACCAGGCAATTAGGCCCAGCCAATCTAGGTTTAGGAGGGGCAGCCCTGCCTAACCAGCCTGATCTCTTTTTATGACCAGGTGACCCACTTGGTGGATGTGGGGAAGGCTGTGGATGTTGTCGACCTGGACTTCAGCAAAGACCATCTCCCACAATGTTCTCCTGGAGAAGCTGGCAGCCCATGGTTTGGAGAGGTGCATTCTTTGCCATGTTAAGAACTGGGTAGATGGCTAGGCCCAGAGAATGTTCGTGAATGGTGCTGGAAGCAGTTGGTGGCCAGACACTAGTGGGGTTCCCCAGGTCTCCACTACTGGGACCAGTCCTGTTAAATACGGTTATTGATGATCTGTACAAGGGGATCAAATGCACCCTCAATAAGTTTGTGGACAGCACCAAGTTGGGTGCGAGTGTTGATCTGCTAGAGGGTAGGAGAGCTCTGCATATAGATCTGGACAGGCTGGATCAATGGGTTGAGGCCAGTGGTTTGAGGTTTAACAAGACCAATTCTGGGTTCTGTACCTTGGTCACAACAACCCCTTGCGGCGCTAAAGGCTAAGGAAGACTGTATACCAAACTTTTCCAGCTGAGGAGAACTACAGGGGAATTAATCCATTTCACAGCTAATTAATTTACTTAACAGCTTTTTAAACACAAGTATTTCAAAAAACAGACCTCTGCTTTAAAAAGGTGAAGTTCATCCAAGAAACATGCAGTCTCACTCACCCAGAAGTGCAACACTGGGCACAAATTTTCACTGCAAATCAGTGGCACAGTAGGAAGAGAAGGTTGTGGACATTTTCTATCTCTTCTTTTAACTAACACAACTAAATCTACTGAGAATATTTTCCTAAAATAAAATGGTATCTCCATCCACATAGTAGCTGGTGATTTTATTACAGTATTTAGAACAGGCAGAATTCTAGCCTACCACATTTTGAACTCAAAGATACATTCCTGGATACTACTAAGAACAAGTCCCCACTGTATTTGGCAGGATAGTTTTCTCCTTCTTGGTTAACATGTATTTATGCAGTGGGTATACAAAAATAAATGTTATAGTACAAACCATTTACAAATAACTAAACCAAACGCAGTTCTAAACACACAATCATTTTCCTGAAGGAAGAAGACTTACTCGCTTTTTCCTGTGGATGAAGGTAGCAACTGGATTTGGGAGGCAACAAAGAGGCTAATGGAAAGTCACTTCTGGATCAGCAAGATCCAGGGCTTTTGAAAACAACACAAAACTAGCTATATTTAAAGACATTAGTATTTACACTGATTTTGTCTACCTGACCTCATCTGTGCCATATCTTCTGAAAACAGAAAACAACAGAGTCTTGAACTGGACTTCCAAAACGTAAGGTTCCTCCATAATCATTAGATTCTTTGAAAATGTCAACCCATTATTATATTAATTTTGGTTCCTACTGTCCCTTGTGGCCTTTTAAAACTATTTTGACTTACAAGATAACAAGACTTCTGAAAGAGAATGCTACATTCCAGTTTTCCCATGAACTTAGTCTTTGAGGACCCCAGCACCATGCCTTGAGGCTACTTTATAAGGGCTTTGTCACCATGACTGCCACACCAACTCTGAAGCTCTTGTCACAGCCTTGGCTGAAAGGACACTTCCCAGCATGCCCAGGGTCAAAATCCTTTTCTTACTAATCTAATTGAACAACATCCGGAAAACAAATGAAAAGGATTGTTAAACTGGTTCCCTCCCACCCAAATTGCAAAAGAAAACAAGTCAGAGAAATTCCCAAAGTGTAACCTTTTGAGTTTAAGCCCACTAATAAAAAATATAAGAAGCTTTGTTCATGTAACAGTCAGGTTTACAGCAGTGTTAAAGTTCCGAAGTTCTCCACAAATTCCCATCATATTGTTGCAACAACACAAAATTCATATACACAACAGCCCCACAATCCCTCTTCACAAAAACAAATAATTCTTGAATGGATCTTTCATGCATAAATTTATAAAAATAAAGCATACTTGAATAAAAAGTCATGCCTCTAAAGGGCAAGGATTATAACTAAATACAGTTCAAAATACTTGATTACATAGTGAAGCAAATAAAATGTTTTAGTTACTGTTTTTTTAAGTAGCATTCAGGGACCTTATGAGCAGAATCAGAAAGTAATGCTCCAGATGATGATGCTATCGTATCAATAGAAAATTAATTTGTTAAGGTTAAAAACCAGATCTAACCATCTACTCCAGACAGACTTCTCATAGCTAAAAAAAGAGGAGGGGAGGGGAGGGCAGGGGAAGGGAAGGGAGGGGAGGGGAGGGGAAATGAAGCATGGGCTGTCCTACAATAACAGTAGGAGCAGGTTTCTCTGGCCACATGACTGGATGTGTGAAGTCCTCAAGAAAAGAGAATAGTTCAGTCAGACAAATTTTTTGTTCTTCTGCACACTGTTCTCCCCTCAGACAGTTCCCATGTCCCCTTCTGCACTAACAAAGACTTAACCTGGAAAGAAGGCCAGGACCAAGCCTTTCACAAGAACCTCCTACGTTAAGGGAAGAACCAGAAGGAGTAGGACCTTTCTCATCTTTCCCTTCCCAACACAAACACCCTGAAACAAGAAGTGACCTCACTTTGTGCTGCCCAGCCTTGGAGACTCAAGCCTTTAGTACGTCACAGAGCAGCACTGGAGTTAGTAATAGTAAAGATTGCACAAAAAGGTTACTGTGTGCAAATGACCCAGAGCTGGCAATCCACTTTTAGAGCCACCTCTGCTGTAAGTTCAGCCACAGGACTTCTTAGGAAATAATGTAGTCCAAATCTGACCTGATTCCTTTGTGCTATCTTTTGTCCTTTCTTCCAGCGAAGAATGGGCTTCAGAGTAGTTAGTTCCTTGTCCTCTTTTCCTCTTTCTATTGCATGTTCCCCAAGGCTGTATGATGCTTCAAATACAATTGGAGAGATGACATCCTTGACTCTTTTCTGTATAAGAAGACAAACACATATTTCACCTATGCATATAGCCAAGCAAGTTTCCAGCTACAACAATTATACATTCAATTAAACAAGATCACTTAATTAAATATGCAATTAAACCAGATTGAACGCAGCAGACAGGTTTCTCTACTTCCTTTATCTTTCTCCATGTCAAACAGGAATAAGCACATTACAATGAACAAGTCAGAAGCTAAATTTTTTTTTTTTAAAGTTATTCTTTTGGGATCTACTCTTCAATACACAAAAGCAGAGGAATAATTTGGCCACCTACAAATCAAGTGGTTTTCAATTAAAATATTTTCTTTTAAATTAATAGAAAGCAATTAAATTATTCCTGCAAAAGCAAAGATCAAATAATCTTCATCTCTGAGGTTTCAAAATCCTAGACTTTGACTGAGATCACCTCCAGTGAGCTCCACTCATTAAAAGAACAGAAAACTCCATCTTCCCTTGTTGTTTTGCAATACCAGTGAAATAAATGAATGAGTAAAGGTACTAATGTGGCTATAAAATAGGATTACAGACATACAGGGGCAAGAAAATCCATCTTCCAGCATGCTTCTCAAAGCGAAATTTACAGTTTTCCCCATCCTCAGCACAGCAACATTTCAGTTTGTAAAAGAAGAAAGTTTTTCAATTTCTTTATTTGCATATTGTAGGCTTCATACCAGGTGTATAGAATGGTGCCATATTATCTGGCTGATGAGACAAAAGGATCACCTTTTCTTGTTGCTGGAATGAAGCCATAAAATTCATACCATTTGTCACAACATGCAATGCCTAAATCCAGACTGCTGTGCCAGGACAAAGTGCTCATTGTGTTCTGTTCAGTCCTGATTTCCAAAATCCAATTTACCAGAAAACTTAAGTCCAAATGCTCGACCTTTTCATAGCAAACATTCCTCTTAAATTTTAGTTACTTAAAAACATGGCATTAATTCAGCACAGACGAAATTGAGGCAATAAATAAATCCTATAAATAATCACATCAAACCTCCAGATAGGCCAGCTCTCAACTTTGCCTTGCACTGGTTAGTGGGTTTCTCTAAACACAGCCCGCCAACCACAAGAAGCAATTGAGATACAATGCCTTTAAAATTACATCTTGCAGATGTGGGAAACCTGGGTACTAACTGCCTTTCAGACCACCCTGTTTGATCTGTTTCAAGACAACCGTTTGCTCTCTCCAATATGTTGACTGTCCACAGATCTCTGAAGTCAAAGATTAGTGGCTAACCAAATTCCCAAATCATTGGTATATAGCAAATATCAAGCTGGATGACATTTACCCTTCTGCACCTTCAGCTAGCCCTCAAATTCCCTACCCTAATATGAATGTCTGCCAGCACTCTAAAGTTTAGACTGCACGTTGCTTGGAGCAATTTGTGCTTTCTTGGTAAAGAGCACTGATCAACAACAGACATAGCAGCAGTGGTGATAGCTTGACCTCTTTCCAGTCCCATAAAACAGACTATGCATGATCTGCAGCACTCTTAATCCTCTCAGCAGAAGAGACACTCATGCCTGCAGCCCCTTTCTCAGCTGTATTCCTAGGGTAGGCATTGTACCACACTGAGACTACTAAATAGCAACACTACAACTCACAGAAGCTGTTAGCTTTGCTCTCACAGAAAATCAAGTGTATTAACTTAAGTAAGGATTGTTATCAGCCTATGTGAAGACTTTGTATACAGAGAAACAAGACTATAAAAGAGCATGTCATACAGCAACAGTCAAACACAAACCATCAAGCAAATTGCCACTTAATCCAACTGTATGCAACCAATTATGTAAACACAGAACAATAAAAAGGTATGCAGTGGGTTAAATTCAAATCCACCTACTATTTTTGTAACTTTATTACTGCAGTATGGTAAGAATAAGTATTTAATCACTTCTACATGTTTTAACACTGTCTTGCAGGGTTCAGTCCAATGCCCTTCAAACTCAAAAACTAAGTTTCCTATTGACTTTGATAGACATTGGAGTGCATCTTTATTGTTTGGTGGTGTTCTACTTGATTTTAGTGGTGAAATTGTGACTTCTCCACCACCACAGCCCTGGGAAATACATTTCACAGACCCATTTATCTTTAAGTAAGGATAAAATTACGAATGATGCCCAGTTATTAATTTTGCCACACTCTCCCTTCTGCTCACAATCTTTCAAAAACAAAGGCAACAGTTGATGTAGTTAATTTGGAGGGCGGGGGTTCCCCAGGGAGTCCCAGGAAAGCCCCCTAAGCTGGATGTTGGCTGGCAGCGCCAGGCAGGCAAGGAGACTCCACACAGCTTCTGAGGGGGCTAATTAAATGAGGGTTTACTGGGGGTCCTACCCCTGGGAGCAGCACGGTTACTGAGGGGGAAAGGGGAAAGGGGGAGGGGGAGAGGGCCTAGGGGAGGGAAGGGCCAAGAGAGGAGGAGAAGGGCTAAGAGAGGAGGAGAGGCTAAGAGAGCCTCTGATTTCGGTAGCACAGCTTAGAGGGGAATTCAAAGTGGGCATGGAATAACAATTGGGCCAATGGGATTACAGATACACGATGGTTCAGGACAGGACCACAGGCTTAGGACATACCATACATTTTGCAGGGGTGAGACAGAGCATACCATTTAAATAAAATGCAGTACTACAAACAGTCTGTGGTATTTGTTCTCAGTAAGACAGAGACAAGACAGTTCTGTCTGACCGGTACACAACAGACTGTCTGGAATATGAACATATAAAGAGAATCAGCTTCTTTTATTTTCAGTTTACCCAAATGTATTGCTTCCTGTGTTGAATCATATATTGATGACACAGATAGCTTTTAAGTATTTTAAGATGTCCAAGGAGAAGTCAAAAGATTAAATGCAAATAAGGTTTGAGATAGACTGAAAAATCCTTTACTGTAAAAACTGTACATTTTTTGTATAAGTTGCATGACCTTAATGAACTGGATTTGTCAAGGGAAACGGGTTCCACAAGCAGCTTTTACATGTAATCACCATTTGACAACACAAGGCTTATATGCTTTGGAAGTGGTATAGGCTAAAAACATTTCTGAGCCCTGAAAAACCAAACCTAGCAAATCATAGCATATGGAGAGCACAGATTCAGTAATTGAAAAAAAGTCTTGAAGACACTACAATGTGTGTAATGTACAAGGAGTTCCAATTATGAACAGAAACAACTATGCAACTAGGGTTTAGTAAACAACAGCAATAAATACTTAATCTGTACAGACTGGAGTCACTGAACTGGTGCAAGTTTTCACCATGCCTGAATTGGAAAGCTTACCCTAGCAAATATGATAACAAAAGCTTGCTATCTCCTCTCACAGAACAATCATCTCAAAGAAATTTTTGAATGTTGTGGTAGTAACTGTATATGGCCACATATTCTTTCCTTTTTTATTTCTCTGATTTAGCAGAGCAGAAGAAAGCAAGAAAGCAAATTCTCTGCCAGATTTATGACTGTATTTCGGTTTGACTTTAGTACCAAAAAGTCTTTAGAATCTGAAAAGTGATGAAAGAGCAATGATCAAATGTCACATCTGTGATTCTGAACATAATTTCCAACTGATGATGGAGTGTGATAACTGTAAGAAATAATTTTTTAGTACTATTAGTAGACATGGACTAAGGCACATCAATGACAACACACAAATATAGAGTACAACATCTTAAAGGCACATTGCCTTGGCAGGCAGTCACTGCCTTTTACAACCTTAACTTTAGGCTACCAAGAGCCCACACACATCAGGAATTCAAGCAAATTTGGCTGGAACAAGACAGAGTTTTAGTCAAGGGATAGGATTTATTCTACTCATGGTGCAAGTGGTTGCCAGACAGGATATAATTTCAGCTTTCTTTTGGCTCAGTGCCACTCAGGGGACTGTACATGAGCTCAGTAAATCATCACATTTAATCCCCTTTCTTCAACAAGGCCAAAATCTCCAACAAGGACTCTAGAGAGTGCAAAATTCCATTTTTAATTATGGCCAATGGGCTGAGAAATAAATTGAGATGCAAATATTGCCCACAATCTACAGCAGGAATAAAGGATGAAACACGGCCGATTAAAAGAATGAATATGAACTAATTTTCAGCAGCATCATCTGAAGAAATACACATAATCATCAGGATGACTTCTACAGTTGCTTGGTGCTTTTGTTCATGTCTTTCTGGAGTTTCTCTTTCCTTTCTCTATGGGAAAGTTCTCTGACCTGTCTGGCCTTTTTTGTTCTCTCTCTGACTTGATCCTCAGGATTTTAACCCATGCATGAATTCCAGAGCTTTAATTGAATTCAGCACAGCTTTTCAGTACTTTTGAGAATTAAGTTCTGTTTAGTTAAATGGCAGAGAATGAATTCCAGAACCCATTTTTTAAAACACACAGATTGAAACTTTTAGTCTAAATGTATTTATTTCAGGAGCTAAATAACGAACACGAAAATTAGACTAGGAATTTTTACAGGCTCAAATATACAGAATAAAATTGACAATCCAAATTTAACAGACAACATATTTATGCTGCAAAATGTAAGACACTATGCTAATGCTAATCCAGCACACAACTTTAATCAGCTCATAGGTCACTACCACATAAATACTCAACTCAGTATCAAGAGATAAACAGTTCCCTGACCAGTGATCTCAAAAATTACTCAAATTCCCACCAGCCTTCAGAAACAAAAGCCACTACCGCCACAATCTATCAAATGAAATCACTGCTGTAGGTCTTAATAAACATACATCTTAGCTTATGAAGCAATAAAGATGACAATGCTTGACTTTAAAATTAACTGTCTTCTCCTGTTATCTCAGTCTCCCTCTCTAAACTGTGAGTCATCCAGGGTGCAAGGCTTAAAAGCTGTGCAATTCAATAAGACTATTAATTAGACAAATTGACTTTTAACTTCAAGACAGATTTTCACTCATTTCAAATGAATGAATGTGTACATGTCATTCTAGTACCTGAAAATGAATAAGGAGCAACTTAACTTC